ATAGGTATACGATTTTCTAATTCATCAAATATACCAAAATCAGCTTCGATACGTTTTCCATTTGTACGATAAGTTGTATTATATGTTGTCGTTGAACTTGATGGAAATGAATCTGATGCATCAACGTATTGTTCATCATAAGTATTATCCAAACTAAAACCATCCCAAGGATTCATAGCTCGAGCACCACTAGTAGCAATCGTTGGTATATGAGCACGAGGAATTATAAATTGTGGACGTTGTACTGATGATTTTGTTTCTGAAGGTGATTTACGACATTTTCTTACAATGAAGTATATGCACATAGCCACAGAAATTATTATAAACAATCCAGCTATAGCACTAATAACAGCAACAATGACTGTCCAATTTGTATCTGATGATGTTGATGATAATGAAGTTGTTGGAGAAACAGTTCGACATAAGTTTCCTTCATAACCCGCAAAACAGGTACAACTATTATTAGTTGCTGAGCAAACACCTGTACTCGAGTAGACACATTCTTGACAAACGGGTTGAATAGTGGAAATATTAACTATAAAAATATATGAATAGAACGATATTTCATTGAATTATATCCTACCTAAAGTGTTTGTTGCTGGATTCATAATCATTCTTATCATTGATAACGAATAACTTTCATTGTAAATGATACTTCTATTTATTATTTGATTTGTAAGTGCTAATCGTTGTGAAATATTTAATAGAACATTTAATGTTATCATAAGTTCAAGATTTGGAGGTACAGCGTCCCTATTTTATATAATTATTTAACTTTTTTCAAACTAATCAATTGAACTTACTGTGTATCATATGTATTAAGACATGATCCATTACATGTTACATTCATATCATATAAAATGCTAGATATCTATAAAGAAAAGAATATTATAATCAAAATAAGAAATTCAGTTAAATAATACATCATGTTCTATATTCGATGAGCTTGTTGGATTGATCTGAGCAACACGACTTGTTATGGCGGTATATGTGTAATTAAGTAAAAACCAAGTTATACCTAGAATTAAAGACATAGTGAATTATACTGCAAAAAATATTTCTTACCAGTTGCATTTATACAACTAGTTCCATTAAAATAAATAAATGGATGGCCTGGACAGTGACATGTTTCAAGAGCATCATTTAAAGCATAATCAACAAGTGTATAATTCGATGATGGACATTCACATCGGCCTGTTATTGCACTACATGTTGCAGGTGGCATACATTGATTTGCACAAAATGATGTATAATTAATTGGTAAACATAATTCATTTGTATTAAGAACATTTCCATATAGTTGAGTATAATCCCCTAAGAAAAATAAATTCCTTCATTTATTTTGATTAAATTATTTATTTCAATTTACCTCCAATGGCATAATTAAAATTACATCGACATTCATATGAACCCTTAATATTTACACAATATGTGTTATTATATATTGAACAAGCTGATGCATTGACAGCGCATTCATTAATATCGATACATGAACCATTAATAGACTATACAAATAAAGTAAAATAAAATCAATAAAGAAAAATAAAATAATTTCCTTACTTGATAACCAGATAAACAAGTACAAAGATAACTTCCTATAGTATTCATACAGGATGAAACTTCCACATTACAATAACTTTGATTATTCGCACATTCATTAACATCTATATATATATATATATGTATTTAAATGCATGTATAAATCTTAATTATTTATTCATACCTGAGCAATTACCGGTTACTGAATCAATTGCATAACCAGGTCTACATATATAAACTGGATCTCCATCATTCGGATCTGTTATACAATCTTCTATAGTACTATCATATGTATTATTCAGTGCTAAGAAAAAAAGACGAAAGAAATTAATTTTAGCATTTTTATAAATAACATGAGCAATATTTCTTACCACATATGTCTACACGTTTGTTACAATATATTTCTGTATATCCAATATCACAAGTACAGCTTTGATTTACATTTGTTGCATTTGGATTACAAGAACCAAAATTACATTCACATGATTCATTACAACCATAACCATAATTACGATTACCACATCCTTAAGAAAAGTTAAATCGTAAAATTAATAAAAAGAAAAAGAACTATTTATTCATACCTGAACAACTTTTTCCATCCGAAGTATATTGAAAACCAGGCGATTTCATACAATTACATCGATAATATCCATTCGTTCGTTCACAAAAACCAGGACATGTTGAATTACACCAAGCTAAAATTTATTATCTATATATTCTTTCTTCCAATCGAAAAATCTACATACGAATGCAAGTATTATTTCGATAAACTGTACCATATAAACATGATATTACATTAGGATCAATAGGACTAGTACAAGTATTATTATTAACACAAAGACTTGAATTAACTAATAAAATAAAAAAAAGGTTTTAATGAAAAAGAATATATATATTTCATTGTACATACATATACAAGTTCCAGTTGTATTAAAAACAGGACTACATTCACATGTAAAATTACCAATTGTATCTATACATACTTGACTAATATCACAACGAAAAGGATAAGTACCATCTATATTTGGTTCTTCACATTCATTTATATCTTTAATGAGAGAGAAGAACGAATATAATCTATCTTGTTTCAATTTTATTAAAGAACAACTACTACTTACTAATACATGTTTGATTATCAAATCGATAACCGGAACTACAATTACATGTATATGATCCAATAACATTAGTACACACACCATTTCCACATATTGTAGCATTATTTGAACATTCATTAACATCTAAATATTAAACTATTAATTTTATTATTTAAAATACTTTCGAACTTTTTACCTTCGCATGTATAATTATTCGATGAATTATATCCATTGAGACATGTTCCATTACATGTATACGAATGATTTTGTAATACTTGATCAGCAGAACTCAATGGTTCACATGTTGTTTCATTACTCCAATAGAGTCTACATGCACTACTTGAATTACAACCATTATATGGATATTGGCAAAACACTCCTATAAAAATCATAAATATAAATAATTTTATATATATATTATCAACTAATATACCATCATATTGATCAGGACAAGTACATGAAGCAAGTAGATAATGATTGGATATAGTTGTTGTTTGTTGATAATTACAATAGCTACTGTCGGTACATAGACAAGTGATAATATCTAAATATTGTATTAATGTGGAATTTGTACCATATGTCATAGTGAGACTAAAATACAACGAAAAAACAAATGAAACTTAGTATTAATTTTAATCTATACTTACAAAAGTTCAACATAACTGCTGGTATCATTTGGTATTGGAATTCCGATAGATACACCATTAAAAGTACTATTTTGTAAAGTGCCATTTTGAGAAATAGTAACAGATACACTATTTGCTCCACTAATACTAATTGGTAATAGATAAGTACGACTAGTAGTAGTATACGGTAATGATATATCAACAGGTGAAGATACATTCATAGTTGGTGGTGTTTCAGCTATAATTAATAAATAAACAATAAAACGAAATTAGAGAAACAAATTTTTACCTAAGATAGTTCTCGAATAACTGTTTGAATTTAATAACACTGCCGTTGCACTACTAGATATTGGATTTATTTCAATAAGATAATCATGAATACATTCAAAATTTGAAGAACATGTTCCATTAACAATAGTTTGACTAAGACGTGGATTTAAATTTGCAAGGGTATTCGAAGCATTGATATAATACCAATTAACAAATGCTGAAGGCATAATTGGTCTAGTAATATCCGCAGTTGTATCACTAGGTACTTTCCCTAATAAAATATATCATTAAATTAATTTATTTCGAAATTTTCTTCTTGATAACTTACATGAAAGACAAGCACTATAAATATTAGCATCATTAACACTAGTTGTTTGACTATCGGCAGGTAATATTGTTACTGTTTGATTTGTTGCACGATTGATTAAATCATCACCATAGAGTCCATTAAAATTACCTGCTAAACCTTCAATATGTGTTCGATATTTTTCTGGTAATGTTAAAAGACATTCAAGATTGTCACTCATTATTTGACATTCAAGCGAAAGACCTAGATAAATTATTATCGTATATCTTAGAAAAATTAAATAACTATTACATACCAGACCAAATAGCTAATGTTAATTGTGGTATTGTTTTATTTAATACAACTACACCAATTTGTTTCACTCGATACATATATCGATTAGTTAAATCCGTTAAATTTATAGAATCATAATTTAAATTATTAGCTAGATCAGCTGTAAGTGATAAATAAGATGAACTCGTATTTACCGTAAAACCTTAATGAAAAAAAGAATATTAACATATAATTTTATATGATTATCTTACCAAATTGTCCATTTATATTAGTAATAGTAAAAGTATAATTTCCAGCGCCTACTATATAACTGGTAAATACTGAACCGTAACCTTGCATTCGTTCGACATAATATAGTGCTGGTGTTGTCGATGTTGAACGAACATATATATAAAATAAATCATCCGGATATAATAGATTACTATCAGTTATAGCAGCATTGTTGAAATTATATTGTGCAGTGACATTCGCATTCGTAGTTGTTTGAGAAAATATAAAAAGACCTTGAATATGACATGTATATCGTCCATTATCAATTGTATCGATATGTGGATCACCGACACCCGCAACTAGAAAATATTATTTTTTTTTTAATGATAATAAAATTATTCTTTACCGATAGAAGGTGCATGATATCCAGTACAAGTACTTGGTGGATGAAGTTGATAATAAAGATAACATGGACTCGAAGTAGCAGGTGCATTAGGATATGATGGTGAACAACATTGATCACTAAAATAATGAATTAAAATTATTGTTATCTATTATAAAAGACTATATTTAACGTACTGAAATGGTATTCGTCTTTGCCATGGATATAATTGAAAAACTACTAATGGATTCGAAAGTACTGAACCAGCAAGACCACCGTAGGTAATTAAACCTCCATTGTATAGATTATAACAACATGTCTAAAACGAGAACAAAAAGACATTCTCATTATGTATTCAATAAATTTATTTACTTGTGATCGAAGTAATTTATAAGTTCCTCCCCAACGAATCCAACTGGTAATAACTGGTCCATAACAAACAGTATTCTGTGACCATTCATAGATAGTTTCACTATATAATGGAATAAAACGACGATCTGATCGTGCTTGACCAAGTGTACATGGACATGGAAATCTTGGATTATTTCTAAATTAAGTTTTTGGAAATAAATTTCAAAAATATAATTTAATCCGATACATACATATTATCATTTAAATTTTCTAATGGATTCGTATTGTAAAATGTTGTTTCTTTTAAGAAGCTAACTTCACAGTCTGTTAAAAATCGACCTCCAATATAGAAACTTTTATGTGAAGATTGTCCTAGAATAAAAATGTATAGTTTATTTTATTAAATAGTTATTTATGTAAATTAATAAACAATCAATACTTAGAAATAAAGCATTTTGATAATCAAATGGATTATTAAGAACTTGAAGAAAAGAATATTTTCCACGATAACCTAAATAATATATATTTATTTAAACAAAAATCAAAATAATACTATGATTAACATACCAACAAATGGTCTAAGAGAACCAAGACTATTCGTAAGATTCGTATAATCAAATGATAGATAAGATCGAAGAATTGGATATCGAGAAGATGCTACTTCGTATGTATTTATTAGATATGCCGAGAATGATATACTCTAAAAACAAAATCAAATTAGGTATGATTTTTTTGGAATAAGATTTACTATTGATTGATTATTATTTGTTAAATTATAAAAAAGATTTTGCCAATTGATTCGAACTACACGAACTGCTGGAAAATTTAGTGTACACGATTGTACTGGACATGCTTCATTAACTGTACGTTGAATAATGACATTGTAAGTATCTATTTCACTTTGAGTAGCATTGGTTGAACTAAACCAGTTAAGTGTTATTTTTGAAGAAGTCTACAAATATATATATTTATTGATTATTGAAGGAAGATAGAATCATATAATCTAACTTACAGTATCATAGAGTAGATCAGCCCAAAATGGTGCTACAATTGCTTGATTAAAAAGTTGTCGAAAAACAGAATCTGTCATTGTTTGACCGTAATAAGGTGTATCAAGAGTGATATAACCTTTATCTGCGATCTATAAAATGTTTAAAAATAATTTTTAAACTAAAATAATGTTCAATCTTACCCATATACGACTGTATGTATTTTCAAAAAAATACATTGAATCCGGTAATTGATAGGAAGAGATTCGCAACTTAGGATCACGAAGTGTAGTCGGTAGTGTAAGAGTAAGTGCTACAATTGACAGAGAGATATAAATATTACATTAGATGTATTTAGATAAACAATATAACATACTTTCACATGGTGGAGAAGTGGAACATGATTCATTTTGTATAGCACTACCGCCACCACAGTCATTACTATTACAACTTTGACCAGATATGACATCAATACAAGATCGAATCGTTTGACGATACGCTGTTCCACATGAAGGTGTACAATTACCGAATGGAACCCAGCTAGTCCATTCACAAACTGAAAAGAAAACAAAATATATATATATATAATAGTAAATTACAAAAATAAATGTTTTATCTTACTTCTTGTTATTGCCGTGATAGTAGTCGTTGACGTAGTAGACGTTGTTGTCAATGTACTGATCATAGTAGTGGTCATCTGTGTTGTACTAGTTGTTGACGATGTTAATGTATTAATTGATATATTTCCAATTGTTGTGATTGAGTTTGATGTAAGTATAGTAGTTGTTAAAGTTGTACCACCACTAGCTACTGTTCCTATTGTCACTGATATTGTAGAGCTTTCTGTTACGGAAGAATTACTTGTCACCCTTTCCGTTGTTCCAATAGTCGTAGCTGTATTGTTCGAGCCAGCTGTACTTGATATTCCTGCTTCGGTTGTTAATGTACCTGTTATAGTGGTGCCTATAGTAGTCGAAGAGACTGTTGCTGTGGCTATTGTTGATGTTGACGTAATTGTAACTGTTCCCGTTCCGGCTGTTGAAGTAGTTCCTGTTGTCACTTCAGTAGTTACTGCCGTTGCACCGGATATACCGTTAGTGATTGTGCTGCTTGTAACTGTACCAGTCCCAGCCGTTGTACTGGTTATACCGTTCGTGTTTGTACTAATTGTTGTTGTGCTGCTTGTACCTGTACCAGTTCCTGCTGTTGCACTAGTTACACTGTTCGTGTTTGTACTAGTTGTTGTTGTACTGCTTGTACCTGTACCAGTTCCAGCCGTTGCACTGGTTATGCCGTTGGTATTTGTGCTAGTTGTTGATGTGCTGCTTATGCCTGTACCAGTTGCTACTGTTGCACTAGTTATGCCGTTGGTGTTTGTGTTAGTTGTTGATGTGCTGCTTGTACCTGTTCCTACTGTTGCACTAGTTACACTGTTCATGTTTGTACTAATTGTTGTTGTACTGCTTGTGCCTGTACCAGTTCCTGCTGTTGCACTGGTTATGCCGTTGGTGTTTGTGTTAGTTGT